ATGTATCCGTTTGACCTCTCATCGCTGAGAGGAGGAGAGAGCTGAGCAGGAGACCTGAAGAGTTGGAGGACACAGTGTTCTGTCAATGTGTTCATTTCACACATGCACAAAACTCAAGAGAATGTGGGAAGCTGCATGACCTGTAAAGACTACAGAATATACAAATGGACAGCTTCCCTCAGCCTCCTCCTATTGGACAAAGATGAAGCTAAAATACAGAGATGCACTGATTCACTTTTTTTTAAGTTCTGATCAAATTCCGATACTAATACTGATATATTTTAATCATTATTAAACTGTGTTAATGTCTTTGTTCTTTTAATCTTTGAGTGGCAGCTGTTCCATCTCGTTTGAATGTCGTCATGGAGACGATTTGTGGACACTACTCACAGTAAATACTCAATGTCTTCAAAGTGAGACTCTACGAGCTGAGAATGTTTTAAAGTGACCAACCATCTTTCTTGATCTGTGACGTGGATCGGCTCCGTCAGTCCGATATCTGATATGTAAATTACATCGATATCGGAACATGATACCGCTGTGTGATCAAATCTCTATACCTGATATGATATGTAACAGAGTCCTGCACACTCCAAAGGACCTCAGTCTTCTCAGAAGGTGCAGTCAACTTTGGCCTTTCTTGTACAGGACGCCTGTGTTATGTGACCAGTCCAGTTTATTGTTGAGGTGAACACACACCTCTTTACCACACACTTTGTCCTTTTAACAACATATCCTGTCTCCTAAGACCCGCCCCCTGACCCTCCTGTCTGGCTGGGACAGTTTCCCTCTGTGAGATGTATGTGAACTTTGGATCTCAGGGGAAGCCTGTGCTGAAATTTTTAGAAGTTTTCAGGAGGTCATGTGTGAATACAGCTTCAAAGTGACCTTTTTATACCCCTGAAACACTCATGAAAGCTGAAGAGTATTTCACTTTAGAGCACCAGTGTTATGAAAAGAACTCAGACAGTGTACCAAATTCTCTAAAACATCCCTCACAAGAAAATCTTTTTTTTACTCTATTTCTGTGTTTCCAAATCCCAGAACCCATTGCTACAACTCCCCGCAGGCTTACGATTCATACACTTTATTAGATCGGATTTCTGTGCTGAAAATGAACGAGACCTGGCTGTGTGGACGGAAAAAAAAAAAAAAAAAAAGAAACATGAGCAGGATTGATCCCTGACTGCACAATAAGCCTAAAAAAAGAGCCTTTTTATACGAGGCCTTGAATATTTCCTCCAGCATGTTCCTTTCCTCAGATGCCTCTCTGAGTTTGATCTTTTTTTTTTTAAGTCTCCATGCACCTTTTCTTTACCCTCTTCAGTCACTCGTCCGCACGTTTAAACTACAGTCATTGCGATAACAAGGCAAGAGCAGCTATTTAAGCTGAAGTACGCTGCGCTCTGAAACAGACAGTGTATGCAAATCCTAAAAAAAAATCTATAACGCCACAAGGGGTGTGTACACGCTGCCGGTAATTTTGTCCTCGAGCAACAGGAGGCATCTGAATATGTTCTAGATGTGAATGCATTCAGAGGTTTGTATTTTATTTCATTGCACCCAGTGTGACAATTGAACAGCTTAGTAGTGCTTCTGTACGTTGGTGTTCACTTTGCTGAGGCCGGCCCCACGCAGCTATTTCTGGCAGACGATGGCAGAGCAGGAACAACATCGTGCTGCTGTTCATTATTCCCCGGCTGCTGAAGAAAGAGGCAGCAAACACTCGCTGATTGTGTCGGTGCTTTAGGTGTGTATCTGCTGTGTTTCTGTGACATGCACACAGCGGGTCTTTGTTCCATGTTTCTCTCACTCTCACTCCTTCTCTCAAAGTACTCATTTGTTCTCATGGTTTGTTTGTGAGGCTGCTGACGTGCTCAGGCTGCAAGTTGCATTTCCAAAACAGGCAAAAAATAATAATCTTTATTTAAATGTTTGTGCACAGACTGTTTAAACGTACACTATGAAGAATTGTATTACAGTGTTTACATATATATATTTATTTTATTTTTTTGTTGAGTACTTCCATTACCTTAAATATTTCCAACAGTTATCAAAGCCAGAGAAATCCTTAATTTTATAATTGTAGTGGGACATGTCTCTTTGGCGGCCATCATGACAGATGTTTATCGTTGCCGTGGGAACACTGGATGTTACATGAAAGGCCGCTACATAAGGAAGCGTGAGCTGCTGCTGAAAGCTGCCGTACTGTTGCTGTTTGTGCTGCTGTGATAAAAACGTACATCAGCTCGACTTTAAACGTATTCTCTTCCTCAGGTTGATGTCGGCCGTTCGTCTTGCCTACGGTCAAGTCAGAGTTCGTTTTTATGGGGTTGGGTAGTAGCATAGAGAATCACTCGCCAGCCTCCATGTCATCTTTTGTTATCGTTTTGATCGAGAGCCCCCTGGTGGTGGAATTCACACACTGTGCCTTTAAGTGTGAAGGCTTACAGATCGGTAAAGTGACGCCGTGCTTGTCAGTTGTGGGCTGTTGTTCCACTTATTTAAACTCAGGGTGGGGGGGCGAATGACGTGATCTTGGGCACTTGAATTGTTCCCGGTGAACTTCACTTTCACTTTGCAGACTCAGAATATTCAATACGTCAGGTCAAGCGTCCTCATCACCCGGGGGATTGTATAACCTTCAATGAAAACGGGACGGCCTCCTGACAAAAACAGGCACATATTACCAACGCAGAGAGCTTCATTTTAGGCCAAGCTGTGACTGATGAAGAAGTTCCCTGTTCCCACATGTTTATTGGGGGAATGAGGCCAGGTTTCCATAGCGACGCGTGAAACCCAGTCTGTCTCTGAGGGTTGGAGGATTGTTCTCCATTGTTCCTCAGTGAAGAGATGCAGAAAAGAGGGCAAAAAGAGAGAAACAACCTAGCTGATGACAAATAAGAGATGACATGAGCATATGAATCACATGCTTTGGCATGTTCACAAATTTAAAAATACAAATTCATGTTTTGCATTCGGCCGTAAAAGTGAGCTAAAAAAAAAAACCTGTCATGCCAGAGATGTATTCTCGATGTGCAAACATTCAAAAGTTCTGCATCTCCATAAACTTTTGGAGGACTTCATTTTTTTTTTAAATTCTGTCACCCAACTCTCTGCAACTCTTGAGTTCAGCCGATACACACCAGCTCCAAATGGAAATGTAAGTCAATTTCAACTCCCAGCAGCTGCACTGCACGGTCCCCAGGTGCACATGAATCCATTTGACAATCTCTGCAGCTCACACAGGCCCTCTTAACCGTCCATTACAGGTGATAAGCCGCTCAGGGTTTGCTCTGAGGCAGAGGCACCTCCCTCCACGACATTCCTTCACTTAATTTAGCTTTTTATATCACCTTTTTCACACATATCTTCGAGACCAGGGGTTCCCAAACTTTTCAGCTTGCACCACCTAAAATAAGGGTGCCTGAGACTGGGGACCCCTCCCCCCCCCATGCCCCTGGAGGTGGTTGAGGCCTATAACGTAGCGCACAGCCATGCACACGTACACATAAGCCTATCCAAACACTGGTTACAAAAAAGCACACAAGAATTCAACAGCCTGTGACCTGTGAGATGAATTGCATGGAGTGTACGTGATGAACTGTGCGTTTGACTTTCTTAGCCATGAGGACACCTTTGATAGGCAACAGTAACATGGGCACCAAATGATCATAGAGGCACAGAGGTTAATGATTTTTAAGCTAGCAAGCTGGTGACATAATGAAGGAAGTCAAATAAATAATAACAGAGAAGAAAAAAGATGAAGCTGTTGGCAATGACATTCTCGGACTCCACTTTCTGGAATCACTCACTAACCCAAGTTCTGTCTCGTTATTGCATACAAATAAATCATTAAATCCTTGTTACGTCGAAAGTTGTCTCTACAACAGGCTGCAGACGCTAGCTGAGTCCTGTAAATATCATGTAGCTGTAACACATTTTTGAGTTCTTCTTTGGTTTCTCCAAAGGTTTGGTTAAGCTCCACGAGCAGAAATGTGCTCAAACTAGGATCAACATTGGAGATGCTTTTGAAAAATGGATGCAGAGATGGCTAAACACTGAAGCTTCAGTGTCCACCACATGGCAACCTGCGTGAGCATCGACTCTTGAGAGGCGGGGGGCGGGGGGAGACAGCTCTCTACAATGTTTAGAATTTAGACTGCAGTAACCATTTTAAACACTAGGTGTCAGTGTTTCATATTTCTCATTTAAGGTAGGCAGCACACGACGATGCACTTTCATTTTTTTTTATCTTTGAGTGGGTTTCTGTGTAAGGACTTATTCTGAAGAAAGTCTGAGTGAGCTGAGAACGCTGCAGGATATTATCAGGAGAATTCCTGTCCCACCAGGATAGTCACCTGCTGTGAGGTGCGATGTGTGAACAACTAGATCTGCAGGATTTTAGGGGCAGTCCTGTGTAATTGACGATGGATTATTGATTTATGTTTCATTGTTTGTTCCTGCAAGCCTACAAACCTGAGAATGTATAGGCTGTGCCTGTGGTACCCTGCTGTTCATTCATGTATTTTTCCCTTCTCCCGTCCTCCTGAAATGATCTAGATATTTTCAGGAGTGCAGATGTGAAAACGACTTTAGTTCAAGTCTTTATTGCAGCTATTATTTACAGCAGGCAGCTGCTGCAGATGGTGCAGAAGCTGAGCTGTGCTTCCTGGATCTCGTTCAGAAAGAAAGTTTTGACATGATCTCTTTCTGTGCAACCAAAACTTGAACTTCAGTGAACACAGATGGGATACATAATGTTGCACACAGCCTCAGTTTGTAGTTTAGACTTGACAACTCATTTGTAAAAGGAAATCTTTAATACATTTTCTGACAGCTTTGTGGAAACAAGTGTTCAAAGTCTTTTTCGAATCAAATTACAATGATGATGATGATGTGTTTGTATTCATGTGTCTGCCTACAAAGTTTGTTTTTAAAGTTCATGTGCAGTATTTTGTGCCTAATTTCCCCCCTTTTTTATATATCTCTGTCTGCAGGGGCCCAGTTCAGTGGAGGAGCCTTCCAGTCCCAGTTCAGCCCACACACAGCAGCCTCGAAGCCGCCACAGTTTTGTTCAGGAGCACTTTCAAGCTCAGTACAGGTGAGAGGCAAAGCTTTTTTTATCCATCCATACATTTTTCTTCCGTTTATCTGGGGTCATGTCGCATCGGCAGCAGGCCCTCTCCCCAGCAACGTTCTCCAGCTCCTCCTGGGGGACCATGGGCGACCAGAATGAGCCCAGCCACCTGAGGAAACTAATTTTGACCACTTGTATCTGCTAATTCATTATTTCGGTCACTACCCATGACCATAGTTGATGGATGGAACACAGATCAACTTGTGAGAGCTTTGCCTTCAGGCTCAGCTCCCTCTTCACTTCAACGGTCTCCGCCTTGTCAATCTCATGATCCATTTTACCCTCACTCTTCAACAAGACCCTGAGATACTTGAACTCCTTCACTCTTCCCCACCCGGAGGGAGAAGTCCACCGTGTATCTGTGAGCAGAAATAATAGAGTCATATACACCAACCACATGACAAAGCAGGTTATTGATTCAATGCAGTAAAGTGCAGTTTTTAAATCCTGTGTTCGCTTTTTGAACAATTCTGTCAAAAGCATGAAACTCAAAGCTCTTAGGAAGAAGTGGGACGCAAACCTAATTTTGGAAACTTTCTTAAGTCACATATCAATAATGCAGAATGCATGCTGGATACTCGCGGGCGCTACAGTACGTCTAATGTCCTGAGGTGGTGTTTGAATAAAGTGAGCACAATGCATACCGTTAAAAGAGAAAAAGGTAGCACGGGTGAGATTGTGTTTTTTCCCTCCTGCAGATAAGAATCAGTAGTTGGAGAAAGTAGGTCAGACAGACCTGTGAAAGATTCAGCAGATCCATCGTCAGCTCTGCTTTATTCAAAGTGGAGAGTCTCAAACTCCAGTCCCCTGCTTTAAAAGACCCTCGGATGGAAATGACTCCAGACCTTCAGTAACCCTGTGACAACACGAGGCTTTGTAGATTACCTTCGTCTACATGTGCATCGACGATTAAACAATGGCGATAAGATGGTCCAAACATTTTACCATTGTTTTTTCTTTCTTTTTTTAAGATTTCTTTTTGGACTTTTTGGGCCTTTATTAGAGAGACAGGACAGTGGATAGAGTCAGAAATAAGAGAGAGAGAGAGAGAGAGAAAGAGAGAGAGAGGGGGGGGGAATGACATGCAGGAAAGTAGTCGCTTCGAGGACCACAGCCTTTTTACGTTTACATTCAAAGTCAAAAAACATTATCTGTATCTAATTCAAAGGCACATAGAGCAGTCGAATGACGAAAATAGGAGGAGCAAAGACAGTGCAAGATAGACTAAAAATACAAATTAAATACACAATTTAAAGGTCACATAGTCTCCTCTTTTTCAATCAGTTTAAATAAGCCTCAGAGCTCCCCTAAACATGTGTGTGAAGTTTCTTGTTCTAAATCCACTCTGATCCTGTATTTGATCATGCCTATAAACCCCTCTATTTCAGCCCTGCTCAGAACAGGCTGTTTCTGTGTCTGTACCTTTAAATATGTAAATGTGCTGTGTCACACCCCCTCTCTGGAAGGGCTTGGGTGTACTCGGTGCTTTCTCGCATGTCCTATTGTTTACGGTGAGAAGGCAGACTCAGAGGGCAGAACAAACACCTAGCTGTGGGAGTGTCACCCACCTGAATCAAACTGTGCTCATGGATGGTAATAGACGATAGTACAGCATCTTCATGGAGTACAAACTAGTTTGACAAGTGTTTCTTCACCATGTTGATTCTTTGACACCCGAAGCTGTTTACTCCCTTCATGCAGCTCTAGGGCTTTTTTAAAAAAATATTTCCTATTGTAAGCTCCTTGTTGTTTTCCAGTAGCGTTCAAACAAACAGACGTGTGAGGATAAGAACTCAGGACAGGGCAGCTGTAGCAATAACACATCTCCGGCTCACGAGGCGATGAAAGGAGACAGAGCGAAGAGAACATTTTGCTCTTGTGTCAGCCGGCAGTGTAGACTTCATTCACTCCTTTCTCATCCACTTTTACAGCCAGAGTTCTACTGTATTTCATTCTCGACACTGAAGTGTGAAACTAACGCAGCCAAACTGGACAGAATATGACACATTCATGGTATGCTTCTTAATCTTTTTCAGCGTCCTCTGGAGCTGCGCATGAAGCTCCATCAGCAAGTCTATAGATGCACACAAGCTCTGACACACACCCTCAATCAGCTTCCATTACAGCTGATTTCTCCTGATGTATCCGAGAGTCGTTACCAATGAACTAGTTTAAAAATGAAACCAATGCGGAAGTGCAAAATCCTGCAGTTCCTCCAGTGTCCACTAGAGGCTGGCTGCAGAAGCACCAGAAGTCACATACACACCACAATCAAAAAAGCTGTTTTTACAGCAGAAATTAACATGTTTACAGCATGTTTTATGTAATATGTAACTATGACACCTAGTGTTTAAATTGGGTACTGCAGTCCAAATTTAAAACATTAAAGAGAGAGCTCTTAGAGACCCGCCCCCTCCTCTCTAGAGTAGATGCTCACGCAGGTTGCCATGTGGTGGACACTGAAGCTTCAGTGTTTATCCAGCTCTGCATGGGTCTGTAAACCTTTCTGTGTTCTAACCTCTCTCCATTTTTTCAAAAGCATCTCCAATATTGATCCTAGTTTGAGCACGTTTCTGCTCGTGGAGCTTATTAGAAACATGCAGAGGCTTTTTAGGTCGGGTACAATCACTTCTATCTGAACCACTTCTCTTGCCCGCTTCCATCGCTGCAACACCTGTTGACCTGATAACTGCTCTCATATCTGGCAAACTGAGGGGCGTCCAAAACGGCCGTATATCTTACTGATTGCTCGTTTAAGACCTCCAGAGCGGACGGCCCGGGTTTGGAATCTGACCTGTGGTTCCTTTCCTCTCTCTACTGTCCTGCCTCTAAATAAAGGCATAGATAAATCTTCATTGTGAATCGATGCTGCACCGTCATAGATGGAGTAGTGACATTCACAGGTAGCTCTCTGACTGAAACCCACTGAGCACTGATTTGTTTCCAAACTCCGATAGTCTGACTGATGACTCACTTCTTCTATGAATCTGAGACCCAGACCCCATGACTGCGGAGTAAATATGCTTTTTTATAAATCTGTTTTCTCATCTCATTTTAGTCTCAGTCTCAGTCTGAGCTGGATTCAGTCTGCTGACTCGGGAGACTTTCTTTTTTTGTAATCTTCTCTCTTTTTTTACTCGTCCCCTTCTCTTTGCTTCGTGTAATTACTGGAGGACTGGAGTCACTTTGCCTCTTAATACAGGCTAACAAAAGAGCAATCACTCCCCCTCCATCTCGCTGTGTCTCATTCTTGTTTCTTTGTTTCTCTCTCTCTCTCTCCCTCTGTTGTCTTTCTCAGGCCTTTCTCTCTCTCCTTCTCTCCTCTCTCTTTCTCTCTCTCCCTCTCTCTCTCTCTCTCTCTCTCTCTCTCTGTCTCTCTCTCTCCTTCTCTCTCCCTCTCTCTCTCTCTCTCCCTCTCTCTCTCCCTGTCTGTATCACTCAGCTGATCTCTCGCTCCTCCCTCCTCTTCCTCCCTGAATCTTTTCTTTCTCTTTATCTCTCAGAGATGCTCCTCAGAGGCGTTCAGTGCAGTTTGTCTGATCTGAATAAATGTTTGCGATTAGAGCCGGAGCTGTCTTGTGGTTTGGGGCTTCCAGAGTGGGACGCCGCTGCTCGAGTCACTCCATCGTGCCGAAGCGTTTAAATGAGTCTTTGTCAAAGGAACCCCCCCTCCTCCTCCTCATCCCCGTTTGTCATCCTCAGTTTTGCAGCATCTATTCTTAATAGCCTGGGAGACGTGCGGAGGGCCCCGGCCTCTGTCTCCATCAGAACAAACAAGACAGTCGAGGACGGGTACTCTTCCTCTCACGTTGACTTTTTATTGCGATGCAGATTTGATGTGAAAACATTGGGGATATTATTCAATTTGTAGAATAAATGTTGTCACATAGATGCTCCAGTTTCTGTGATTTTCCCGGCTCGCAGAGCTGCAGAAATAAGAGACGTACTAACCCTACTTTTTTTTCTCTTCCTGATATCGTTTTTAATACAAAAAACTGACAACGAGAATCTCTCCAAAACTCGTCTAATTAAGAAACAATTTCAGAACTCTGAATCAAAAACAGTTTTCATTCTGCTATCTTTGATTAACATGCAACTCTCTGCTGCTTACATACTCAGCTTTCCACAAACAGAACAATGCCATTCATTGATTACCTGTGAGATTCTTAAAGGGGTCATGGTATGCTTTTTCTGGTTTTATATGCTCTTCAGTGTGTTTTCCAAGTGTCCTGTGCATGTTTAGGCACATATATGTGCAAAAAATTCAAAGTCTACGGAAACGCGGCTTCTCCTACGTCCTCCTGTTAGCTCCAGCATTAGCTGCATGTAAGGCTCGGTTCTAACCCTCCCTGGAAAAAAATTTGCCAGTGTGACGGCTTGTCAGTGTGACACTTCTCCCAGTGTGGAAGGGAGAAGTGTCCAAAGCGCACAGCTTATCCACAGGGGTACCTCAAAGGTCAGTGCTTGGTCCCCTTCTCTTCTCCATATACGCAAGCTCACTTGGTTCAATAATCCGCTCTCATGGCTTCTCATACCACTGCTATGCTGATGATACCCAGCTCTTCCTGTCATTCCCGCCAGACGATGTTACAGTCTCTGCAAGAATCTTGTCATGCCTTGATATTCATATCTAAATGGATGAATGAACGCCACCTTCAACTCAATCTTTCAAAGACTGAGCTCCTTGTCATCCCAGCCAGTCCTTCTATGCAACCACAGATCAATATCCAGCTTGGAACAACAAAACTCATGCCCACAAAGTCTGCCCGGAACCTGGGTGTCATGATTGATGACCAGCAAATTTTTAAGGTTCAAGTAGCCTCGATGGCCCGGTCATGTCGATTTTCCCTGTACAACATGAGGAAGATCAGACCTTACCTGTCAGAACACGCTACACAGCTCCTGGTACAGGCTCTTGTGATATCACGCATCGATTATTGAAACTCTCTACTGGCAGGTTTTCC